TATCGTCCGCTCCGTTGCGGGCATGATCAATAATTGCGGGATAGCGAAGCCAGTATACGGTCTGAACGGGGATGTTGATGTTGACAAGACACACCAACTCTGCCAGGAGGTCTATCGCATCTACCGATGTTCGTCAGAAGCCAACACGCCAAAGTCAGAGCAATCGCGGATCTTTAGAAGGAAGCACAGCTGGGCGTTGATCGGAGATGGAGACGTCGTCGAATCGCCGATTCGATTCATGGGGCTTTTCGACTCGGTCGGGGAACGCGGCATCCCAGAGTTCGCGGGCGCGGTCGGCGTTGACTGGCCCAAGTTGCATGACCACCACGTATCAAGCGTCGTCTCCGAAGTCTACCACGCCGTCTCGCTACACGACCGCCTGTACGCTTACCAGCCGTGTCTGATTTCCCGCGACACAGAGTATGGACCGTCGTACGGCATCACGGAGCGTTGGTTCCCAGGCACTCACTACGATATCTGTCGACAAAGTTTCAAGATTGTGAGGGGCGTGCTGCCGCAGCGACTCGAGAGTCTTCTGCCGGCGTGGGCTTGGTCTAGCAAGGCGATCAAACCGAACGAGGTCTTGAGCGATCTTGTCTTCAAGTGGATGCTGGAGTGCATCGACGCACATGACCCCTCGGGACTTGTGATACCGAAGAACACGCTCTACCATGAGCTAGATGGGCTTAAACACAGTATTTTGGAAGGGAAAAATACTGGCGATGGCGATGTCTACGACCACATCCTTCAATTTGCCCCGTTCGGACGGTACTTTGACCTGGTGTTGTCCACGGCCTTCGGAAAGTGGCAAGATAACCAGCTTTATAAGATGCTCTTCGCCTGCAGGCCTCGTCTAGTTCCCGAGTTCAACGCGTCAGTGTACAATTACAGAGGTCCCGATCCTAACTTGGATGGGAGAATCATACAGAAGCTCGCCAATCTCCCATCAAGTTCAACGGCACCCGAGAAGCGACCTGAAACGCGATACCCATCGACATCATACGATGGATGGCTCTTGAGGCGATAGCCCTGATCGAAACTTGGTGCATTGTGTATATTGCTGGAACTCAGGCACAATCTGTGGAGGTTTAGCTCATGGAGATAAGTGCACTACGGGTGTAATGTGGATCCCATGCTTGCATGGGCTGACAAACAACTTTGCACATATTCTCTGTGATTGTGTACTAATACCTAATTACGACTATGAGTTATCTCGTCTCAAATGAAAATCTTTCTTGTCGCTGGTCTTATGAATTAGAAAATCTAAACTTTAAGGAAAATGGTCGTTAAATCGTTATCAAGACTCGAGGAGGCGTATTTGACCCCCCTTCCGCGTCCATGGGTGGAACAAGCTCTTGGTCCACTCCCACGTACGGATGGCCATGCTCATCGTGCCGAACAAGAAAAAGGGTATCAAGGTATTGGCGATCATGTATAGCATACCGCCAGACCGCTTGACGATGTCGTAAAGCTCGCCACGAATGATGCGCAGCGACTCCTCCTCGTTCTTCCAGGGCCCCACAAGGCGGAACTTTGCATTGAAGTTGCTACCCATAGCCCAAGTGTACAAGGCCTTGAAACCCTTGGAGTAGACATAGCTGAATCGTGGTGCTGAGCCCATGTCGAGGGCTAGCTGGTATACGTAGCTCTCGTGGTCGACGCCGCGCTTTTCGGCCCACGGGTCTCTGCCACATCGAGGGTGGAGCTTCCAGTCGATATCGTAGCCGGGTAGGGCGTTCGGATCCAAAGTGAGTCCTTTCGACGGTGTTGTTAGGCCAGGGACGTTAGGGTACTTGGATCTGAGTAGTTGAAGAATCCAGTATTGGGTCTGCATCTCGGCGAGGGTGGGAATTGCACCTGGGAAGCTATGTTAGAAGCAACATTCGTAGGGAACATCTGTGGTTGAAGGCCTTACCCAAATTCGGCCGCACGAAGCCAATAAACCCTACTGATACATCGCTGCTGTGGTAGATGGCTCGTACATCGGCTGTGTCGGGTGTGCCATAGCTCTTATCGAGGAAAGGGAAGCGGCGGGTGTAGCCAGTTGCAAATAGAATAACATCAGGCTTCACCACCATCTGCTTTATCTTCTCCGACTCTGGTCTACCGGTGTCGCGGAAGTGCAACACACCATCGTCGTCAACATACTCGGGCCAAGGCGCAACGTCAATGTATCGACCCTTGGTGTCGACGTCAAGCTCTTTGATGTAGAAGAAGAATCGGCGTATCCGCTCCATGGCCGAAAGAGGCGGCCGCCAAGGCGCTGATAGGTATGGCACAGCACGGGTGGATTTGGCCGGGAAGACTGCGATCTTTGGTTAGCCGGTTCCTGGATATGTTGGTGCGGATGACTGCATACAGTGATCGATGTGCATCCTCTCACGACGCATGCCGCCGACATGTTGGTCCCAGCCCTCAAGCGTCCCACCAATTAGCGAGAATGTAACGTCGATCTGTTGGTTGTAAAAATCCCAAAGCAGTTGGCTCGACTGCAATTTCTGGGGAACATATGCAGTGTCGAAGAGACTAGCGATGGAACAGTCAACGGGTTTATCGTTTACTTTGTTATTCCTGCCCCAGAACCCGAACATGATTGGTGTCGGTGCAGTCTACGACAAGTCAATATCAACCTACACAATATATCTTCAAAGCATCTAGGCTTACCTTGGGCGCAACGACGAATCCATCTCGGTGGCACATCACGACATGTTGAACGGTTTCTGTCGTCGCCGCGAGTTGACCGAGGTCTTGACCAGTCTCTCCCGTGCCGACGATGACGACGGTGGGTTTATCGCTCTTGACATCTCGTAGTTGATCTCGGCTCTTGAATTGCGATGAGTGGAGGACCTTGGGGACCTTCTCCAGCCCCGGAATGTCAGGAATACGGGGTTCGAGGTTGAGTCCGGAGCAGACGGCAACGGCATCACAGTCGTAGTCGAAGGTTGTGCCATCTTTGCGGGTGACGGTGACGATATGCCCTCCGCCATCTCCTCTTTCAGTGCGAGTGACCTTAGACGAGCATTCGATGTGAGGTCGAAGCTCGAACCGATCACAGTATTCGTTTAGGTACTGTACATAGACAGCCGGGGTGACATAATCAGCGGCATCTCGGGGCAGGCGGTGATCGGAGAAGGCGGTCAGGTATTTAGACGAGACGAGCTATGGCCATGCTGTCAGCCTCAACAAACCTTTCTCTCTGTCCGATGGGAATGCATGGTTTGAGGAATAGACAGTGGGTTGAGTTCAGTAGTGGCAAACTTACTTCAGCGTCCTCGTACACTCGATACTTGAACGTGCCTCCGATATCATCCTCGGCCTCAAAGACCCGGATCTGGATAGGTTCAATCGCGAAGAACAAGTGTGCCCATTTCAGATATCTCGCCGTCGCCAGACCCGCGGGTCCGGCACCGATGACAGCGACTTTGAGAGGCATATTCGGTTAGCGTGCGTGGCCGTGAACTTTCAACGTGCCCTATCTGCAGGGTCCTCCGATGTCGTGAAACATGAAGGGACGTCTTTCAAGAAGGGGGCACCACCCTCCACCGCCACGAGAGAATAGCAGAAAGCGAGAAGGTAAGGGCACGAGGGATAGCGGGAAATTTGGTGAGGGAGTGGGAGAAAAGTCCGCTCATGAGACGATGTGGGAAAACGGTCGGGTCTTATGGCTTACCTCACACCTTGGACTAGCATCGTCCGCACAGACAACGCGGTACACCTTAGTCTAGGGACGACGGCGAATCTCGGTGGGTGGAAGGGGAACCGAAGGGGAGGGAGGTGTGGTAGCGAAGATGGAACGGTCAAATTCTGGTTTGGGTCGGCCCAGTCCAGTCTCGTCTGGTCTGGTCTTACTTTGCCTTCCCGAGTCTCTCGTTTTCCCGACAGCCCGTCAGGAGTACTGGCAATAGAGAGAGAGAACCCCTACACCAAGGCCAGGAATAGGAAGAGGAAAAGGACCGGACCTAACACCGAGCTAATGGTTCGGGTTCCATACGTGCGTATGGGCGAACCAGTCCGTCGGAGGGATCCTCTCGACCCTCCCATGCTAGTGAACCCAATTGTGAGGTTCGGTCGTGGTGGATAGACCTTGCCAAGGGTGCAGTAGCGCCACTTAGTCCCATGCGACAACGAGGTCTTTCCTTGTTCTCGTCATCAGACCTCGAGACCTAAGCGGGGTAGGCAATATCTCCAGCGGGGCGGTCCCCGCGAGAGGGATCGGCTCTTGAGTGGTGTGTGGTTTTTGGATTCCATTGTCTTAGATTGGCCGAGGATGTCGTCTTTCCTCTCTTCGGGAATGTGATATGTGGGAACCTCTCATATCATTTTGGAGCCCCTCAACCCTCTGGGTCCGGTACTTGAGAATTGGGACGTGTGGAGTTACCAGTGTTTATGGAAACTCACTGGGATTCGCGTCAAGGTATCTTCTGCTAAGACTCGCAATCGACAAGATGACTTGTCCCATCCGGCCAACTTTGCGAATCAGTGACCACTCGGTCTGGGCCCGGCGTTCATTTTGGCTCAAGTCTCAGGGGCACAAAGACAGCCGCCATGCAGCGCCGCGGCGTAGCCCCAAATGCTGCAAGACAAAGCGTAACGGCGCCCCCGGTGGTTCCGGCGATTTCGTCCGGGCTAGTCTCGCGTGAGTCTGGCGCCTGTCTGGGTGCGCCTGGCATCCTCTGGCCCAAGCTGCGTTGCCACACCCGCGTCGCCGACTCGAAACTCAATCTGCTGTCATGTCTGTCATTTTGGATTACGGTGTGTGATGAGTGAGCCGTTTTACGTGCGTACTTTTGGTTGTGATGATAACTGGCTCATCGGCTAATGTCTGTCACATTTCTGCAAGCATATCAACTTCCATGACGGCGTCACATCGCCAACTCTCCACGTCGAAAAGTCAAACCGTTCTGACCGCCACTTCGATTCCGAAACTTGATCCTGTCAATCGGACCCGGACGACTGGGTCATTAAACATCCTCCTCGGTCAGGGAGACCTCCACCTGTCCTCAAACTTCATTGGTCTCGGCGCCGTAGCATGAGTCTCTTCCCGCCCCTTTCGTCACCTTATGGCCGAACCACCATGATGTCCTCATGCTGCATTCGTCTGCTGTTACATAGCCGTTATCCACAGCTTCAAGAAGTTTCGCTGGATTCTCCTCCACCGCTGGTTTAGCGCTCCCCTTTTCGTCGCCAATGATTCTTCTACGATCACCATGATCCTTGCCTGGGAGCATATGCGGCACATCCGCAATTCCCGTCCTGCTTGCGGATAGTCCCGCGCGTCCCCAAGATGGGGCTGCCAGTTGACTGCACTGCGTTTTACTGACAAGTCTTGACCAGTGAGACAGAAGCCAAGATGTTAGGATCCAGTTTGCGGAAGTCGTTTGCCAGGATCCATGGCATGCTCCGGTCTTACACGTATTTGTACATAGATAGTAGCGAGGCACTAGGCGTCGACATCCACCTGCCAGCGACTCGCGTTGATTACGGCACTGGGAAGACAACCCCTGTTGATAACCAAAGATACGACATTCTACGACTCATTGATTGCGTAGATCTCAACGGCACGTTGAGCACAGCGAAGCCGCGAGCTATGCGACAGAATTTCGCAAGAGTTTCCAATCTCATTGTTGAAGACTAAGCGCAATCTGACAAGTCTAGTACCCTCAATGACCAGCGTTGGATTTCTGTTCTCGTCCAGCTCTAGGCTTCACCAACTTGAAGTCGCGAAACTCAACAAACTTTGAATCACCTTGACCCTTGAGCATGTATTAGGCCTTGAAATGGAGAAATACTATTGTAGCTAGGGTGCAAGCTCGGCAACCGTCGGAACTCCATCGCTTTGCGCGCGCGAAGGCCCCATTGGTCTCATTCGAACCCGGCCGCCCCCCTTTGCCCTCTCACCCACTACTTTTCTCAGGTTGTCCAATGCTAATTCATCTTTCCGTCTCGTCTCCTTCGGGAGTTCTTCCATAACTAAAGGCTCATCACTGCTCGCCGGTATGAAGAACCAAGGACGAGCAACCCAGTTGGGCATCCCGCTCGGTTTCGGTGAATAGTTGACGTAAAACGGCAATGTCAACTCCATGATTCCAACCTCTTTGCGGAACGCGACATCATCGAACATGGCATGGATATCCGTGTTCATGATGCTGATCTTGCTCCAAGGAGCGACAGCAGCCTCGGTGATTTTATCGACCGTTACATGAGTTGCCAGATTGATTCCGGACCAAGACGCAAGAGAGGCCGTCGTGCCCATCTTGAATCTCTTCAGTGCCGTCATGTTGCTGCTCCAGTGGTCGAGCAGCTCGTGCCAGGACAAGCTGGAGTGGTAAAACTCGGTCCAAGTGTCGTCGACAAGATCAATGTCCCACGTGGCTGGCAAGTACCCACGATTCGAGACTTCAACGTCGTTGCCGTCGGCGTCTTGGACAGTAACTATGGTGTAGTTGCGGTCTCGGTCCAGATCCCAAATCTCCCATTGAGGGATTGTACAGTATGCTTTCGATACCACCACGCATTCATCGAGGTATAGCTCCTCTATCCCGCCAGCTAAGCTCTGACTTCCGAGAGAAGCAAACCAGTCTAGCTGCCACTCATGACTGAAGCAGTATCTTCCAAGACCTAGGACCTTCAAGTGCGGAAATCCAGAGCCTGGTCCGCTGCCGGGATTGATGAGGCGGAAGTCAAACTTGGGTTGGTAGCCCCAGATATCGTCGTAGTAAAGAGACAAGGTTGTCAGGTTACAGGCGAGCTGTGGTTTGAACCACGATGTGAGTTCGCGAAGATAGAGATCTTGCCACTGGTAATTGTACTCAGTCGGCTCATCCTCCAAGTTGTCCCACAACGAGTTGTCCGGGTCATCGGGTGCTACCATCAACTTTACACTTTTGAGCGTTGGAAGGGCCATTACTTGCTGGAAGATGGGCCAATCCGCGAGGTGCTTCCGATGCAATGGGTCTTCCGTACCATGATCTTGGCCCTCGTTGATATCCTCAGCTAGATTGAAAATGGCCAATTCCTCTAGCTGGATTTTGGGAAATCCGCCATCAATCAGCCTGTCCTCTACGCTCCAAAACATGTCCGGGGTTTTCAAGTCTCCCATCCAGGCAAAGTCTTCCGACGTCCCCAGGCTCTGCGACAATTGAACCAGATCCTGATCATCTTTACTACCGCCGTGTATGCAGTAAAAGGCAACAAGAACGACAAAGCGCCGAAAGCTGTAGATATCATAGAAACGATAACTCGTGGAGTTATTCGGTTCAGCGTTCTCGTCGCCGTCATCTGCATAGTCGGTAAACTTCAAGTTCAGAACTTTAAGCCCGGAGAAGTATCTGAGGTAGGGTAAAGCCTCAAGGAAGTCCATAGGGAAAGGGCAGTAATCCAGAACCGCGCGAGCATCACATGTGACCTCTCTCACATGTCGCCGAAGGTTTGCATCTCTGGCAATGTGCGTGAACCGGTCGCAGAAGGGTGGCTTGAGTGAGATATGCTGGAATGATCTGGGAGTTGCTGCGGCGGACAGAATCTTGCTCCCCAGCCGAGCGGCGTGAGCCGTCGACTTTGAAGTGTGCGCAAAGATAAGTCCCAGAACCTCTTGGGGTAAATACGATACTCGGGATGGATTCTCGGCCATTCTTTAATGCCACACAGTCGGCGAGAGGAGGCTTCGCGATGAGCAGGCCGCGGTCGCGTCGTAGTCGTGTTCGGATTGAGGGGGAAACTAAAATCCAGATGGCGAGCTAGGTACGGATACTGTAGCCTGCAAACAACTACAGCCCCACATTCTCAGTGCGCGGCAAATGATGTTGAAGCATCGCCTACATACCTTACTCACCTCAGTCGAAACTCTTTCAAACATTGCCTAGACACCTGTAAGAAGCCAAGTCTCTAAGTGTTTCTGCGATATTGACTTATGCGGCATGCGCAGTGTTCTCAATACCCTAGACTTGACCAGATGTGGATAGGCGAATTCAGAGATCAGCTCTTCCTACTTCGTACTTTACGTAAGTATCTTAACCCTCGTGTTAAACCGGGCTTACCCACTTGTGGGAGCCTTGCTATCCTCCAGGTAGTTCTGGTTCCTCCTTTGGGGAAACCTTTCGAGCTGAATGAGGTTTGGTTGGCTTTCACGGAAAGTTTCGTTGCTTGAACCTTTCTTTCTGTGCCCGTAATAAGGAAAAAAAGTGAAACCAACTTCTGCGCGTTTTCAGAATTATCGGCTTTGGTCATGTTTGCAGTAACCTTTCCCTCTGCTACTTCACTTCGGTTGCTTAACTAGTTGCAGACAACCAACCCAACGAACTCTGATGGTGCTTTTATTCACTGAACAGTTCAAGAGCCTAGGTTGAGTTGATTTTGATTGAGTGTATTACTGATGATATGTGTATATCGCCGACCATTGATGCGATTTTGTCGAACATTGTCGACGCCGGAGAGGCAGCTCTTACCTAGCATCGCCTCCTGTCATTGTACAGTATTCTAATGCTTAAGTCGATCGTGCTACTTTTGACAGGGCCGAGACTACCCACATCAATTAAAACCTCATGTCTTCTGTATTCTCATTATTCTGGCGTGCATCCAATGAAGGATCGAACGCCATCGACGCGTCATGTTAGTTTCTTCGTGAATTCTACCCTGCAGCATGGCGACTCAAAGTGCGTGGTTTCATGGCAGTTGACTGAAATTTAGAAGCCAGAATATTCAGCGATAGAAGGTCATTTTCGCAGTGATCAAGGATGCATTGTTTCCGATTGAGAATCGTCAAGTCCAGCGGTTAGCTGACAGCCAAGGCCACGAAGTCCCAAAGTGATCTCCGCTTGGTTGGTTTACTCTACACAAAGTCAGGAAATCCACAGGTAGTCTGGTCGGGCCAATTGTGTTAACGCGCTTCATGCAAGTTATGGCTTGGGGTTTGGGTAAGAGCAGACATTGGTCAGGATCCTTGCCATCTTCAAGCCATTAGGAATAAAAACCGGGCCACCTCTGTTGGAACGCGGTCGTTCTTTGTTGGTTCAGACCGTTCCTCCCGTCAATCCCCTCAGCTTCATTTTTCCGACTTTCTCGACTTCCCGGATCGAGAGAAGAACGCACCCCATCGCCCGTATCACTCACTCGCCTTCTTCTGTATCACTTTTACATGCAATACAAAGATGCCTGCCGACCCCAACCAATCAGGGCCTTGCGATGAGGCTGATGGAGACCTGAAGCATGTACCGTTTGGCGACAGCAGTGGCTCGTTCTCCTCCTCATTTTCGTCTGCTGATAAGCTTGATGGAACCGAATCTCTGATTTCCAATCTTCGACTCTTTAGTTTTGAAAACAAACGACGCTATCACAAGTATGAAGAGGGCCGCTACATGTTACCAAACGATGATATTGAACAAGACCGAGAGGATATGAAACACTCCATGATAGTACACGTCTGCAATGGGGCTTTACACAATGCCCCTTTGCGCAACCCACAAAGAGTTCTCGATATAGGAACCGGCACTGGTATTTGGGCCATGGAAAGTGAGTTTTATTTCATGACCGACTAGGGTTATGCTGCCAGAGACGCTAATAAGGCTGCTCGAAGTGGGTGACGACTACCCAGAGGCCGAGATTATCGGCCTAGATTTAAGTCCCATCCAGCCTGAATATGTACCTCCAAACGTACATTTTACAGTCGATGATGTTGAAGCAGACTGGCTGCATGCACCCAACTCAGTTGACTATGTTCACGTGAGGAACATGGCGCCAGCCCTCAAAGATTGGCCAAGGCTTTTGTCACAAGCCTACAGGTAAGTGAGCATCTATCCTCCTCAACTACCAGCTAGTGGTGAAACGTTCAGTTGACATTAGATAGGGCTCTCAAACCTGGGGGTTGGTTTGAGATGCAAGATCTAGTTTTCGACTTTCTCTGTGACGATGGTACAGTCACGGAGACATACAAGCCACGAGAGGCAATGCGCTACTTGACAGAGGCTTTGGCCACTTTCGACGTGGATGTCAACATCGCCAGAAACTTTGCAGGTTGCTTGGAATCAGCAGGCTTTACGAATCAAATCCATGACATGAGAAAGGTACCCGTGGGAACATGGCCGAAAGATCCGGACTTGAGTGCCATTGGAGACTACTGCCGCGCGGTTAACTACGATTCGCTTGGAGCAATCACAAACTTACCTTTCACGAGGGGCTTAGGCTGGTCTAGGCTACGAGTAGAAGTGTTTTTGATTGAAGTGCGCAAAGACTTGCTCAATAACTCATTCCATCCATATCACTACTATCACTCTTACTCTGGTCAAAAGCCTCTGCAGCAAAATGAATGACGGCATGAGCGAAGACATATGCTTCTTGCAAAGGCGGAGTCTTGGTCAAGGCTGAGGGGACTCAACTCACTATATCACACCAAGGATTACGACAAGGGCCACACCGCAACGTCACGAGGAAACCTGTCGACTAAGATAGATAATCAGATACCCGGCCTAGAGCAACCTGAAACCAGTTTGCTTTTCCCCTCAGATATTATTTCGAATTACAGCATGACTAGTTTATCTCCACATCCAGCTTGGGCTTATAGTTGATGACACAAAGCCAGAAATCTAGGTTTTCATATATGGAGTCATGGGCAGCCCGGCTCCGGTCACTCATGTGCTCTCTGCAGAATAATGTATTAGCTCGTTAAATGTTGAACCCATATAAAATAAAACAAGTGTCGGTATGTCACCACCACTCTATGATATGTGTGTGTAGCTGTGTGTACACCTAGTCAAACGCCATTCCTGGGAAGCTGAACTCTGATAGACTGGCCAAGCTGTCTTGATACGAGTCTCACCAATAGTTGCATCGTTTGACGTGGGGAGTTTGTGAATTCCAACATTATGGTTCTCGTTGTACTATAAATGAGTATTTCAATCGCATCGCTAAGGTCACGACAGCAGCACCGCAAACTACAGCTCAATAACGCTAGGTCGATCAATTAATCGTCGTTCTGCTCTGAATATCACCATTCATCGGACCCTATTTTCATTCTTCAATTTCTCAACTCCGGCGGAGATGAAAGGGGCTGTTTCATCAATGTAAAGTTTGGACTAGCTGCTGAAATTTCGTCGTGGGCAGTATTTCTCTTTGCCAAAACCGATCATGGCCACATCATTGTGGCCATCCTCACGATTGAATTTTTTGCTTCAGGGCATGCTTAATCCTTAGTCACCATCGCTTTCCGAACCTTATCATTAACAATCACCCTTCTTGATTTGAGTTGCTTGAAACTTCAACCCTGATAATGCTGGTCTGCCGAACGAAAATATTTAGGACTCGGTGTGTGTCTACTATTCCAGTATCAAATAGCAGAGGCAGATCGGCAGCTTTCGACGGGAAGCTGACTGCAGAGATTTGACACTTCGCTGAATTAGCCGCCCAAAGTTGAAATTACGTTTTCCCTCTGGTCGTGATAAGTGATACCAATCCGTGGACGTGCAGTGTGCATATGAGGAACGTGCTCCTCACGAACAGCCCCGCTGTTGGCCTCTACTCCCAGCAAATGGAGAGAAGGGCGCTTCTCACTGCTCATGCCACGACTCGTGAGCAAGTAGCCCCAACTTCGGAAGTTCGGATTGAGATGACAACACGGAACTTGACCATGACGGTCAGCTCGGCCGTTGGCCTCTGCTGCCCATCCTCCCCATCATGAAAGGGGTTAGTTGGGGCACACGTCACGATGCAACCCAGCAGCCTTAAGATGGCAGGACGGATCTCATCCGACTGTGAACAAGGGCTAATGACAACACTAAACAACGCGCAGGGCCAGCATCTATCGGGAAGCTGGTTGACATAATAGTTGTGTCCACTTACCCGCTGCCCCCAATAACTTGGCAATTCTATCAGGCATAGTTCGTAAACAACCACCCAATCGTGGTCGTTGCCTAACGATCCGGACCCTCAACTCTATAGTGGTTCCTGCATGAGCCTCACTTTGGAAAGAAACATCTGAAGTATAAGAAACAGAGACAAAGTAACTGCCCTCCCTCCTTTCTTGTTTCTCTCCTCTCTCCAAGTCGTTCTTTCTGTACATTCTACATTATCAACTTCAACTACAACTCAGCTTCACGCTGGCGTGATTTGGTCACTCTTTCAAATCGATTTCACGCGTCCATTCTTTTATCAAACATTACATTCTTTTTCTGGTATTACACAATATGCGTTTCTCAGCAACCGCCATTTTGGCTACCGCAGCCGCAACTTCGGCATCTGCCCAGTCTGTCATTGGCACGGCTTACGGCTTTGCTAAGGGTGTCACTGGTGGTGGTAGCGCCGCCGCTGCCATCCCCTCTTCCGTCGACGAACTCACTCAATGGCTTGCCGACGATACCCCCCGTACCATCATTATCGACAAGGAGTACGACTTCACAGGCACCTCTGCCAAGGGTAAGGGCTGCAGCCGGAAGAGCTGCACAGTTGCCAACGGCGGCCAGCTCTTCCTTGGAGACCTCTCCTGCGGCACCAGCGACAATGTTGCCACCACTGTCAGCTACGACCTCGCTGCTACCGAACCCCTCATCGTCGGCAGCAACAAGAGCATTCTCGGCTCCAAGGGCAAGGGAATACTCAACGGCAAGGGCCTTCGTGTCAAGACCAACGCCAAGAACGTTATCATTCAAGGCATCGAGATTACCAACCTGAACCCCACTGTTGTCTGGGGAGGTGATGCCATCGACTTGCAGGGCGGCAACGATGGTGTTTGGATTGACCACAACAGAATTTCCAAGATTGGTCGCCAGTTCATCGTCACTCATTTCGCCGGGTCTCGCGTCACCATTTCCAACAACTACTTCGACGGAGCCACCCCGGCTTCAACCACCTGCAACGGCAACCACTACTGGACTGAGATGCATCTTGGTGATGGAGACCAGATCACCATCGACAGAAACTACTACGTCAACGTCTCTGGCCGTTCCCCCAAGCTCGGTCCCAAGGGTACCTTCCACGCTACCAATAACTTCTTCCAGAACGTCCAGGGCCACACTTTTGAGCTGTTCACTACCACCCTCGCTCTCATTGAGGGTAACGCGTTCGAGAACGTTAAGCAGCCTTACGTCGGCCAGGTCTTCTCCAACAGCTTCAACGCCCCCGATGCTAAGTCTGCTGCTGCCTGCTCCTCCAAGATTGGCCGTGCTTGCGTGATCAACAGTGTCGACTCCAAGAGTGGCCAGTTCAAGGCTTTGGCCCAGACAAACGTTCTGTCCACCTTCGCGAAGCTTAGCGGATACCTTGTCAAGCCCGTTGCTGCCGATACTGTCGCCAGCCTTGTCGTTGGCAACGCCGGTCCCGCTAAGCTTGGCGGCTCCGGCTCCGGTGCTACCCCTACCACTGTTGCCACTTCTACCCGCAAGGCTACCTCTGTCATTGCCGCGACTCAGAGCGCCAAGGTCACAGTTAAGGCCCCCTCGACTCACACCCCCAAGGTTACCCCTACTGCTGTCGCAACTCCCAGCTCTGGCGCCAACCACACTTCCAAGGCCCCTCCTTCCCACACCTCCAAGGCCGCCCATTCCTCCAAGGCAGCTCAGTCTTCCAAGACCAAGGCTGCTCACACTTCCAAGGCCAAGCCTACTCCTAGCACTCCCAGCACTCACACTTCCACCAAGAGAGCATCCTGCCAGCAGACTGCCGCTGGCAACTCCACTGAGTCGGCCATCGTTCAGATTTACCACCAGTGCGGTGGAAAGGGCTGGACTGGTGCCACCGTTTGCGTCGCTGGAACTTCCTGCGTTGTTCAGAACGAGTGGTACTCCCAGTGCGTGAGCTCCGCTACCAGACGCAGCGCCAAGGCACTCCGTCGTGTCTAAAGATCTAGACATTGTATACATTAAGACCTCGTAGTCTTTAAAGCTAAGGTGTGACTGGATAGCACCCAGTTTCTCTTCTTGAAGATAGTAGTTTATAGTTGGCCATCCGGCCTTGTATCGAAAGCCAGCCGATAACCGCGGTAGCACATAAGAAACATACGTTATGATCGAGAAGAATCCCTTATCATCTACGTGATTCGTCTGCCTTTCTGATTTAGTTATACAAGCACCCGTCATTTGAGTACCTTATGGTACCTTGGTCAATATCTCGGAAGGACCTGAATGGCAGGTGAAATTCCTTAGGCTCCAAACAAGTAAGCAGATGCCTCATTTTGTAATCCTTATCAGTAAGGTGCGTAATGTAGACGAGAAGCCTCCGCGAGACTCATGTTGTGAAGCAACCAAAAAGCATGCTTGAAGACACTATTATGAAGGTACATACACTTGTTCACCATAGTACTTTGACTTTGCTACTTCTTGAATGCCGAAGTGGTATTGACGTCAATACAACTAGCTAAGGTTTCGATAACAGACAGTGACATGAGTGTTCAGTTGATATAGCTGGCCCAATCTCGCTGCTTGCCGTAGAGTTGGAATTGTTTGTGGAGGTGGGATCCGTCTAGTTCATATTGTCCCTTTCTTGCTTCGTCCTAAGTCTAGAATTTTCTTTCGAGCGAGTGTATGGAAGATATCCATGTGTCTTTGAAGGCTCTCGCTACGAAACACATTATAGGGACTCGCGAATCTAGCATATCGACTGGTAGCTGGCAGTGTCGTGGAGATAGGGGCAAACAGGTGATTAAGAACCTCGGATCCCGAATATGGACGAACACCTGCGTCGGTGGCACAGCTTACTTTACTGTGTATGTTTGGTCTCCACAGTCTGCAAACTTCGTGCCAACCCGGTACCCCACTCTCCTCAAAGACCCAGCGAGGATCGGAGTACTCGGTCCTCTGGGCCGGATAGTGGCGGTCGTTGTGGGAAATGTGGGTGTTTGGCTGATGCCCGCCAGAACAGAATTTCGTGCCGAGCATGCGAGCAGCAGTCCATCCATTCGAGCCAGAGGGAACTTAGAAGTGGCGTAAGCATCTAGGCTAGAATCTCTACTGTCTCTACCTCATGTTCGGAGTGATCAGTAGAAGTCTGCCAGAGGGTTGACATGGAAGCACATCACAATATGAAGATGCCCCGGCAATTGTGGACGTGGCGCGATTGAGATGGCGATCTTGAGTTATTATTTGCAAACCAGTCAGAAATCTTTGCTACTTCCACATCACGCACATCCATGTCCTCGACTACAAAAACGGTCCATTTGTGCCACTGTGTTCTTAAGAATGGTTTTTCCAGTCGATTAAGGAATCAGTGGTGCCCGAACAGACATGGATGGACGGATGTCAAGTTTTGCAGGCGCATCCAGCACATCTAATGTCCTCCTCCTCTTACAAAACTCTACAATCCTCTTGAGAGTGACAAAACCCCC